TTGGGATGACCTCAGCGAGCTGTTTCGCAGATCAGTCAACAAAACTATGATAGCCTTGATGATCGCCAACATCCGGACCGGATAAGGCACTGAAGAAGAAGAAGAAGGATTTTGAGATGTTTTAACATCATACAAAGACCTAAAATTTTTAAATCATCTGGTTCCATATTAATGTACGGTGTATCTCATTAAAATTTGTCTAACTAACTGCTGCCAGCCCAGGGTATTAAAATAGAAATGTTGTTAAGTTTTTTTCTCTTTCGCTCTATCAGCCGATGGACAGTGTCCGCTTCCATGTGGGTGTAACCTCTTATGGAAACATCTAAGTGATTATTTTTACTTTAGGATACTTATTGAGTATCCAAAAGAAACATATAATAGTGCTAATATTTTTATTCTGGCCGTAACAAATGCAGATCCGATTTCATTTTCACCACAAGTACTTTATCATAATTTTTGTCTATATCAGACCCATCTTCTTCATCAAAACTCAAGGCATCCCTAATAATATGCTCTTCATTTAAAACATCATTGCTTGATGTATTATTTTATTCTGAAATAAAACAAGGCTGATAATATTGTTTGTAAGAGATTTCATAATATTGCTAGTTTAAGGTTGGTATCATATCACTACATTAACTTTTTGAGGTTATGATTTTTAATAATTTAAAAATATTAAGCAAAAAAGGTAGCTTACCTGTAAATGCAGTAGAAGAATTCGCAGAACTTTTCAGTAGTTCAATAATCTTTCTTACACGAGGATTATGGTTCATTATTTTTATTATTAGTAACAAACTACTGTAAACACACCATAAATGACAAAAGTATGATTATTAGATCACTAACAGTCTACCTGTTATCATAGAGACATGCAACACTATGTGCAGCGGTAATTCACATGCGTAGAGGGATAAAACATTAAGTCTTCATGGTGTTCAATCCCTCTAAGTGAAAATGGACTTGGTGTTCTTTTTAAAGATCACTATCTCCATTAGCAAATGGTTTAGGACCTAGTTCTCTATTTCTTTAAATAAAGTGATAAACGTTGATTATTAGTCTGTAAAAATGTCAAAATTAAAAAAAAATATAATCCTACATTGTATTATTTGAAAATTTAAAATTTTTTCTTTATAATAAAAATAAAATAATATTAAACTTTAAAGCTCGGCTTGAGTTAAAAGCTTTTTCTTGACGATTACACAAATTAAGGCGAGTCTATGCATTAAAAAGTTATCAAGACTGTAATAACCGAGCGAAAATGCGGCAGAAACTGATAAACGCCGTCATATTCGGAGCAGTTAGTCAAGCTAATCGTGAATTATAACTTCTGTCTGTTTGTTTGATGTTCTTCTTAACTCCAGCCATAACTCTTAGGAAAAAGAAAACAGTTTTGATACAAAGCGAAGTTTGTATATATTCAGCTATTACAAAATGTCGTATATACAGGGTCAGGAGAAGTACAACATGGTGTTTTATATACAAATTTGTTCTTAATCAGTAATAATTATCAATATTTATCCTTCAAATACAAGACAGTCGAATACATTTTTTCTTTTTAGTTCAGATGTTGTGCTCTTTTTCTCCATCATTTTACGGTTATATTGTTCTAAACTCCTGGTTCTTCTTTTCTTTTGTCTTCCTGTCGATTTCCAGTGTAAGATGTTCTTTATTGATTTTGTATGTTCTAGTGCCCTTCTCATCTGAACATTACCAAAACATGCCTGCCTCTAAATCTTTATAGTAAAAGACAGTTAAAAAAGTGTTAAAGTTAGGTCGCAAATGAGATTCTTATTAGACTTCTACGTAATTAAATGAAGTTGCATGGTCTTCCTCATATTTGTGCATGTTTGTAGGTGGTAACTATTCTGATTTGCGCCACATTCACAGGTATTGGCTTCCTGGTATCCCTTATCTTCTCAGGTAACTAGCATAATGTGAGACACCAGTTCTTAATCTGTTTAGCGGACTTTATGTCAGGTAAAGTTAATAGTATACAGCATAAATTTCTTCTGGGTTAACAAATGTTGACGTATCTGACGTTTGCCGTAGGTTTATTCGTCGTATTTAGTTGATTCGAAGACGATCCTTGATATTTTCAGGAAGCTTTTCCGAGAACTTAGTTGGCTTGGCTGAGTTTGGTGGTCATACAAGGAGTGTCTTCCATCTCTTGCTTCTTTGGTTTCACCTTTAACCTAACCTGTCTTATGATAGGTGGTGAAACGATTTTAACTTTGGGATCGATCTCTTTGATGGATATTGATTTAAGGGAACCCTATATTATATGTACTGTTTCATTGAGAGGTATGTCGACGTTTTTAGCGTAAGCAGAATTTATTTACACTTGTGCTCCAAATTTTGCGGTTACAAAACATAATACTAAGGAAGAGGTGGGGGAAGCATTGGTTGTGCTCCCCATTATGTATTAGTTAATTTGTGGATGGTAGTTTTTTCTTGCGCTTACTTTTTTCCTGACCTCTTTACAGTGATATCGTCAAGACCGAATTCTATCTAGAGCTATATCAAGATATTTTGGCATCTCGTTGAGTTATGGCATCTGGTAATACCATTCTATCTCTAGCGTTCTTTGAGCACGCTTAAGAAGCACACATTTGCGCTTTTGTGGGATTGGGTTTCAATTCACTTTAATCATATTATAGTAACAAGTCTTCTAGGCCATTTGTATTTTTCTTCAATTTCCTTGAAAGTTCTTCCCGAAGCTGCCACCGCTGCATTATTACCGTAAATAAATTGCTTTGTTTTTATGGTTTGAGGCGCTATGAACGCTTCCCCTATTTCTGTCCGTGGGTGAAGTTAAGGTTTCCAGCAGGATTTTCCGAGTCTGAACCTTGCTTGTTCTAGAATAATTTTAGGTTCAGCAAGTTTTTCCACATTTCCACGACCCAGTTAATTTATTATTTTCTAGAATGCCTTAAAAAGGTGACACAAAAGAAAGACAGGTCTAAAACTCTTTGTATCCGCAGGATCCTCTCTGGTATTAAGAGGGCCATCACTTTGGCTTTTCCAGATTTGAGGATTTGTGGTGTGCGGATGGAGCAATTCATCATTCGTACAAGCCATTCTACGGTTATTGGTCCAAAGATCTTTATTTGTTCTGTTCATATTTTTATTTAATTCTATTTCTATCAGCTCTATGGTTTTAAAGTCTATCGGTAAGATACTAACCTAGCTATAGACCCCCTACTCCTTTATCCGAGCTTGGGACCGGCAAAAATTATGTCGAGCTACTCGATCCACCCAGAAAACTGCAGGTGAATAGAAAAGTTTTCCTAAATATTATAAAAACTATCGAAAACATCTACCAAAACAACAAAATGGAAGTCAGAATAGATAGACAACTTACAGAACCTATAGAAATAGGCAACGGAATAAGACAAGGGAATAAGACAATTGAGCTCCATGCTCTTTAATTTGATCATGGATGAAATTATCAAAAGCGTTAACATAGAAAGGGAATACAGAATATGAAACAAAGAAATAAAAATACTCTGTTACGCAGACGACGCAATATTGATAGCCCAAGATGAAGATGTCTGCAAAGACTGGTCTACAGATTTAAAATAAGAGCCAAAGAATTTAATATGACAATTTCATCTCAGAAAACTAAAACAATGTTAGAAATTGCTGGCATCAGTATTGAACAAGTAATGGAAATAAAATATCTGGGAATTACACTGTCTAGCTATGAAGACCTGGATAAAGAAGTGAGAGATCAAGTACAAAAAGCAAATACACTGGCAGGTGCCTTAATAACACTATAAGGCGAAACAGACACATTAACACTGAGATGAAGTCAAGAATTTATAAAGCCAGTGTAAGACCAATACTGACATATGCCTCAGAAATAAGACCTGACATAGCCATAACACAAAGGCTATAGGAAACTGCAGAGATGAGAGTACTGAGAAGAATTTCACGAAATACGCTGACAGATCGAAAGAGAAGTGACGACATTAGAAGAAAATGTAACGTACAGTGTATAAATGAATAGACACAAAGTAGCAAAAAAGAATGGAATAACCACATAAGCAGAATGGAGGAGATGTGTCGTCAAAATAGCAAAATAAGTCACCAATCGGTAGAAGAAGTATCGGATGACCGCGCAAAAGATGGAGGGACAACCTTCAAAAGAGTAACAATAAGCCAATAAACAAGTAGAATTGCTTATAGAGAGGAAGAAGAAGAAGAAGTATTTCTTTCTCATCCAGGCCAGCCGCTTTAATATTTTTCATTTAGTGAATTGCGTCTTCCATCTCCCCCAAATACAATTAGGTATCTAGAACATCCCTTTCGTTGTAAACATTTCGTTGAACTCTTAATTTATTTTTCCTTTATATTAGGAGACGGTAGGCATCTGATTGGGTGTGACTTATGTCAGGTTGGGTATCAGCACGGCATCGTTGCCAAGATTTAGAATTAACCTTCAATCACATCTGCTGTTCTCCGTGACCAGCTTGCACCACCTGTTTGTTCTATTGGTGACTATCGCATGTAGAACGTCCTCACCAGCATGTATTGTTGATTCCAAAAAGGGGTCAACACTCATAGCTTCTTATACATTTTAAGTGGGGTTTAGATTTTCATGATGTGAGAAAGAGAAATTCATTAGAAGACAAAGAAATCTTTTATTGTCCAGTATTTCCTTAAGTTAATTTTTTATTTTCCAGTCTAGTATTTTAAAGAATTTTTGTTCGAAAAACACCAGTTCCTGTTTCTCTTTATATTCAAGAATACGTATCAAGATACACTCGTATCATCTATGTTTATTTTCGTGAGGATATTTATAATTTTTATATTCTGTTTTTCCAATTTTTTTAACAAAGACGTTGAAGAAGTAAATCTATGCCAGGATTTTTAGTTTTCCATGCATCAACCTAAAAATAAAAAAAAAAGAAAAGAATTAAACGAATAGAAAAAAAAATATTTAAAATATTTAAAATTTTTTTTTGTTGCAGGTGAAAATATGGTTCCAAAATCGCAGAATGAAATGGAAACGTAGTAAAAAGGCCCATCAAGAAGCCAAGTCATCCAAAGAACCTTCGGAGAGTAAATCACAACCTGTAAGCTGCTTCAAATCGTGTTCTTCGAGTTCCGAAACAACAGAATGTACTACTACAACGGAAATGTGCCAACCCTCAAAAAGGACTGAGGAAAACGAATCTCTCTATAGGCCATACGTTGTTTAGAGACATAAGTTAGTGACAAAGTGTAAATATATCAGAGTTTCGCTCAATGTCGATAGGAGTGTACATCTAAGACAGCCGGTATACGGTTTTTCTTTAAACCAAATACATTTTCAAACGCAACAATCACGTACCTAATTTTTTTCTTGTACAAGCCAAGCTCAATGAAATAAATAAAATAAAAACAATATACAGGGTTTTTAAAAAATGTTATTTTTCAAAATATAATTGCAAGATTTACATAAATCAACGTAGCAATACATGTAAATGATGACCTCAGCTAAAGATAACGCCTTAACATCGATTTAATCCAAATATATTATTATTTTCTTTTTAAATTATATCTATTAGGCCATGATTTAACAACCAGAATTTTGCTAAGAATGTCAATTTTGATACCCCAAAAAGATGCAAAAACGTTCCATTCTTTCCGCTGGATTTCTCTGAAAACCCCCCTCGCAATGGAAAATGAAAAACATCGATTTACCAAGAATCTGTAGGCCGTGCTGTAGGAAAAAATTAACTAAGATAATTTAGAACTTCTTCTTCTTTTCCAGCCTTAAGTAATCCAACTTTGTACATAGACCTCCCCCAAATCAATCCAGTGTTTTCTATTTTGCGCCACTTGCTTCCAGTTGTGTCCTACGATCTTCTTAATGTCATCAGTTCATCTCATTTCTGGCCTTTCTCTGCTCCTTTTTCCTAACCATGGTCTCCATTGTTGTATTTCGTTTGTATTTCTCCATTTAATTTGGCAGCATGTCCTCCTGCCTCTTTTACTTTGGTTTTGCTTCTAATCCATTTGTTTGTTTTTTGTCTATAAGTCTCACCCCGAGCATTGATCTTTCCATCGCTTTTTGTGTTTTTACTATTTTATCCATATTAGACTTGGTGAGTGTCCACGCCTGTGAACCATACGCGAGTATAGGGAGAATACACTGATCGTAAATTCTGGTTTTCAAATATTGTTCTATTTTAGTGCTTTTCAAAATCCAACTTAGGTTTCCAAATTCTGCCCACGATAACCTTATTCTTCGGGTAATTTCGGCAGTTTGATTTTCTTTGTTAACTTTCATTATCTGTCCCAGGTAGATGTATTCGCTTACTCTTAAAAGGCGATGATCGCTGCCAGTTGTGAATCGATTGAGAGCAGTTATATCTTCAAAAATATCTTTGTTTCCACACAAGAAGTAATCGGTCTCGTTTTTCGTGTTTTTATCGGGAGATGTCCACGTCGATTTTCGGTTTGTTGGTTTTTTAAAGTGTGTGTTCATGGCATATAAATTTTGTTGTTCTAAGAAGTTATATAATTTTTATCCCCTTTCATTTCGTGTGCAATAACCATTCATACATATTTTAGTTTCAGTGTTTTCTTTTTTTTTTACCTAATTTTGCGTTGAAATCTCCCATAATGATGGTATACTTTGCATCATTTTCTTCTATTCTTCTAATACTGTTATTAAAGCTTCGTAGATATTCCAACCAGCTCTTCCTGATGTGTTGTTGTGGGAGCATACACTTGTATAACCTTGATCTTGATTTTATTATCTCGGTCTATTATAATATAAGCTACTCTATCAGAAACGCTTTTATATGTAGAAATGTATATTGTGAGATACTATTTGACAAGAAATCCTACTACACACCATATGTTTCGTCTATTTTCCCTATATATATATATATATATATATATATATATATATATATATAATATATATATATATATATATATATATATATATATATATATATTAAATGGCCAACTATATGGTCTAGGAGACAAATTCGTTAAACTTCCCGTGCTCGAATTGGTATCACTAAAGTGTTATGATCATTTCGGCCTATCCCAGCCATCGTCAGACACTTGGGCTGATACAAATTCAAACTCGGAAAGTAAAACGAATGTCTCCCAAATCTTTACTACCGTGTATTTAGCTTATAAAGGCACCCCCTACTTTGAAGGCCGTGAACGAAACGATATGAATAATCGTTTTCTGTATCCTTTATGCTATGCGAAATGTGTAAAGAATTAAATCTTTTAGCGAAAGCCGCTATCGCTTTATATATTAAATGGCCAACTATATGGCCTAGGAGACAAATTCGTTAAACTTCCCGTGCTCGAATTGGTATCACTAAAGTGTTATGATCATTTCGGCCTATCCCAGCCATCGTCAGACACTTGGGCTGATACAAATTCAAACTCGGAAAGTAAAACGAATGTCTCCCAAATCTTTACTACCGTGTAGTTAGCTTATAAAGGCGCCCCCTACTTTGAAGGCCGTGAACGAAACGATATGAATAATCGTTTTCTGTATCCTTTATGCTATGCGAAATGTGTAAAGAATTAAATCTTTTAGCGAAAGCCGCTATCGCTTTATATATTAAATGGCCAACTATATGGCCTAGGAGACAAATTCGTTAAACTTCCCGTGCTCGAATTGGTATCACTAAAGTGTTATGATCATTTCGGCCTATCCCAGCCATCGTAAGACACTTGGGCTGATACAAATTCAAAAGGATACAGAAAACGATTATTCATATCGTTTCGTTCACGGCCTTCAAAGTAGGGGGCGCCTTTATAAGCTAACTACACGGTAGTAAAGATTTGGGAGACATTCGTTTTACTTTCCGAGTTTGAATTTGTATCAGCTCAAGTGTCTGACGATGGCTGGGATAGGCCGAAATGATCATAACACTTTAGTGATACCAATTCGAGCACGGGAAGTTTAACGAATTTGTCCCCTAGGCCATATAGTTGGCCATTTAATATATAAAGCGATAGCGGCTTTCGCTAAAAGATTTAATTCTTTATATATATATATATATATATATATATATATATATATAATATATATATATATATATATTATAAGCGATTCCCAAGAGTTTAGATGCATACATTGTTCGCCTCTTCTTTTCACTTCTGACAATCCTCCTTTATCCCACTTTATCTTAGATAGTTCTTCTTTTAATTCGTAGACCTTTACATCTTTAGCCATCGAGTGAATTTTGTATGTGGCTAGTAGTAACTGTTTTTGTTTGTTCGTATCAATTTTGGCGCGTTTTGTTGAACTAAACAGCGCCGTTTGGCGCGGTGTGGGATTCTGAGCTGCTAGCTCTACCCACCTGGGGTATCGTCCCATTTTGTTTCATTTTGAACAAAAATATTTATTAGCACTTTTTGTGTAGTATGAACCGTTATCTCATAAACAACGCTTGAACGAACGTTAATTTTAGAGGGAAACCCAGGTGTATAAATGACAAAATTATTCTTTTTGATTTATATTTATACTAATAAATATATCACTTTAAAATGGCCACACATTCAACTCTATAAAACGTTAGAATGGCTTGATTGACCTATAACAAATGTTTACGCTCTTTTTGGCACTTAAAATTGAAATTGATAGTTTGAAAATGTGCCATATAAAATAGATAAATCCTCGAAAACATATTACGATAAGTTTTATAGAAACAATAAAATATTAGTACTTTAGCTCAATTACGAAAATAATCTCATTTAGTAAGATTATGGGGATTATTTAGGTATGTGATATGTTGCGATTTTACATCATTTTTATATACCAAGAAATATATATCAGAAAATATTTTCATAACAAAAAGCTGATATTTTAATTACATATATCCTTGAGTCAATTTAGATTTACAATAATTCTAACAAATATGCGGTATGTACATGATGCGCAATAAGACCGGATATATTCATTTTGTTTATAATTTACTTAGAAATTAAAATTAACATAATTTTATAAACTGATATGCTGGCTTGGGAGTATGTTGTGTCTCCTTATACTAGCGTGACTAGTCTTATTCTTCGCTTAGGCTGCTGTTGATGTTCTCCTATTTATAATTTTCTTGATTGTACTATTTTGTATTTGTGCTAGTGGTTATAGTAGGGAATTTGGATGAAACAGTAGCCTATCATGTTATATTTGACACTTCTTTGTGTGATAATATTCTTAACGTAGGTAATTTTCAAGTCTTCGTATTTCTTTGGTTATTTATCATGTAGCACGAAATATTTTTGGTTAGATTCTCTAAATATTACCACGTCAGTTTTACTTTCACTACTTACCACTTTCTCTTTCGCTCTCTCCAAAGGCACTACGGCCCAAGTTTGGACCCTGGCCTACCTCAGCACTCGTCTGCAAGCATCTCTTTTCTCGTCTGCTTTACTTCAGTTATTAACCCTCAATATCTATCTAGCATAAGTGCTTATTTGGTCTGTCCTTAGTCTTTCTACTGGCCGACGTCTCATCATAGACAGTCTATCTTAGAGTGGAATCTTATAATGTGGAATTAGGTATGTACAAAATACTAAGTACATCAACTTGATGATTTTACAGTCTCTTTAAAAACAGCCTCCTCAGTTTTAAGAGTATCGCTAAAGGCCAAAAAATAATCTCCTGGATCACAGAGACCAAAAAACAGCGATGGATAATATTGGAGAAGAAAAGCCAAAAGTCGTGGACACTATTAAGCCATATTAAGGCCTTGGGATCCCAGACAAATAACTAGACATGTCAATAGTAATTTTGACCAAATAGCTCACCAACTGCTTAAAAATGGGAACATTATGAGCTTAGCAAATTTTTGTAAGGAAAAATTAAAAACAACCAAAACGAAAAACTGAGGTGCTATCTAGATGCCTTACGTTGGTGGAGATCAATAAATCTACCAACTTCTGTAAAATGGCAAAGCAAACTGGCCTTGATGCAATAAGAACGAAACAAATAAGGAAGTTTGGCACAACAATAAGGAAATTGCTAGGAAAACTAATTAACAATTGCTCTTTATCTAATAAACTGCCAAAAAATATAAAGGAAAGCCAAAGTCATAGCCTTCTTGAGACCTAGGAAAGACATAGATGATTCCAAGAGCTATAGACCAATATCGCTGCTATTTCACCTATATAAGGTTCTCGAAGGAATGATCTTTAATAGGCTGACATCTGCTATTGATCCTTTCTTATCGCCCAACAA